GTCCATCCCTTTATGACCACAAAACCGTTACTAGCGTGGTGTACCTAATAAAGTGGCCGGTGAGTGTATATATATTTTTTAACTCTGAGTGGATCTACATGGAGTTCAGCTGTTCTCTATGGCTGAAACCTGCTTACCTCGGGGGAACATAAACATCCTAATTTTTTCTTCAGAGCTCAGACCTGATGCATGGTTCAGTTGGACCAGTCACCCCGTCCCAGTCCCCCGCACAGAATCAGAACTCCGAGCTCAGCTCCCCGCAGCTCATTGTTTTCACTAAAACTGACTACAAACTACAGACACTAAACTACACCCTAAGTGTAAAATCCAAACCTGTGTAACTAACGAAGGACTGCTGTGCTTCGACCCATCCTACTCTACTCTGATTGGGTAAAACTATGACTATGACTCATTATTTGTTGAAAAACACGTCAGTTTACCGTAATCCTTTGTTATCCACCGCAACAAATGTAAAATTTTTTTTTATTTTATTATTTTATTTGTTACAGATGATGAAAATCAGTCATGTGAATAGAGAACTTCAATCCCCTCCAAAAAATTCAAGGACTTTCAAGGACAAGTGTAATTTTTGGCTGTTTTCACAAATTTTYCAGGGCCTTGAAATCATTTTTTTCAAATTCACAAACTTTCAAGAATTTCAAGGACCCGTGGGAACCCTGAGTTCGAAGTCTCTGCTTTTCACTCGAGAGTCAGAGAGGGCGGATCTTAACAGGTAAAGTTTTTTCTTTCTTCCTAAACTTTATTTAGGTCAGCTAGCATTGACAACGCTCTGTGGGTGACGTGATCGGCTCGCGACACGGAGAGGCACGCATAATGCCGCAACACAACGAATCGATAATGAAATTCGTTGCCAACGCTTTTAATAATCGATTTTTATCGATTTTATTGATTCGTTGTTGCAGCCCTACTCTCTACAAATATAAAATTAAAAGATAAAATCTCAATATTTAGAAAATTTTGCTAAATTTAAATCATTTTATTTGTTGTTTTTGCTTACAACTTGGCAAAGCTGAAGTGAAACAGTGTGTTCATCTCAGCAACGTGAATTTTACTTTTTGCAATAAGCTTTTAATATTGTCTTTCCAATAATATATTTGTATTGATCACAAAAATGTTATGTCACGGGTTCTTTAAGCTTTCAATGCCAAAAATATCTGTTTGGCAGAAGATGCCTCACCTTCCAGGGTCGGTCGGTGCTGAGAGGATCTTCCACGTCACCGTCCACCTCACTAGTCGACACCCAGGTGTCATAGCTTTAAAAAAAACATACAATAGTAAAGAGTCAGCGCATTCTACAAATTTGCTGCTGAACCAAAAAAAGCAAAATATGCCTTGAAAATGTGATTTTGTGCTTTATTTATCATTATTAATTAAAAAAAATATATCAAAAACGTATAAAATTGTTTAAATAAACACAAAAAAACATTTAAAATAAAGTGCTATATATTCTAC